CACAGACCTGAGCTCACCACATCTGAAACCCTCCTGAGTTCCCGTGGACCACCCGGTTCCTCCCTCCTCTGGGCGCCCCAGCACTTTGCCTCTCTGTTTAACACTCACTGTTCCACTGTAATGATCCGGTATTTACATTCTGTCCGCCTATGCCAGAGCTTCTCCCAGGGCAGGGGCCAAGTTTTATTCATCACAGCTGCTCAGACATTATTGAGTGAATGAATGGGTAGATGTTATCTTTAAGGAAATTCTGCCTCCCAAGAGGACAGATTCCTCCAGTGGAATATACACTTGGAGGGTTATCCAAGGTGTGGTGTCAAGTGTGGTCCCCAGGGGCGCTGCTGAGCCGAAGTGGGTCTTCAAAGCCTTTGGAATTTTCCGCTGCCCTTGCAAAGGGCTTTTTGTGCCTCCGGAGCTGCTGAATGTGTTGTACGTCTTGCTGCTCGCATTTCCTCTTTGAATGCCCCAGACCACCTTCCTCCTCATGCCCACCCTCTGCTTTTCTTTCATTCTGAGATGGGCAGAGTAAGAATATTGGCTTTTTTTTTTTCCTGTTGTGATTTGAATCCAGGGGTTCTTATCGTGCATACGTTTCTTTTCCCTCGATTTTACAATCATACTTAAATCACACTTGGGAAGTTACTTCTGGACTCCTTAGGCTCGTAAGAAACTGTTTGCAATCCTTGATAAGCTTAATGTATTCATATTAAAATTAATAGGAAAGGTATATTGTTTCCAACTTTAAATTATGATTTAATTCATTTTTAAAATATATGACCACAATTCTAAAGTTACTTAAGAACAGATGTGATGAGATTGAAATCAGTTCTGGGGACCCTTCCTTCATTACTGAGTTAACAGTATGCCTATCATGTGGCAGACAACCTATGCTGCTGTTTCTCAGGTGACATTTGGAGTCAGAATGTGGGTGCAGCAGGCACCCTCCTTGGAGACCTCACATGCATGCTCTGTGAAAGATTATGTGCAGGCTCTTTTTAAATGCTGCTATTAAAAAAATAAAATTTAATGGAAAGAGATAAGCTTTTCCCAACAAAGCCTGCTCCGATTTTATATGTCCTTAGTCTTTTATATGCTGCTGCAGGAAATTAAACCAAAATCGTCCTCTCTGACATGCACGTGTGGACAGAGGGGAGGGTTAGGAGAAGGGAGACACAGAGCTACTTGAAACAATTGCTCGGCTTTCTCAGAAATGTACTGTGACTTTCTGGGAGGTGGTACTGTGAGAGAAGCCCTCCTCATCTTCCTGCTGTGCCATAGGGCTGTGCCTCGGGCCGCACGGGGCCTCTTCCTACATCGTGGAGGACGGTTTGTCCCAGCTCACCTGGAGGCCCAGGTGATGTTCAAGACAAGGACCATATGTCCTCCATCACCAGGTCTGAATTGCAGCTTCCTGCTGAACCGGGTCATGCCGTTCCTCCACGCGCACACCCGCACACACGGTCACGAACGTATTTCGCACGTTACTGAATCCTACTTCCTTCTGCTCTTTCTTTCTCCCCCTTTCTCATCTACATCTGCCCATCACTCAAAGAGAAGTACAGTGTTTACTTGTTAATCAAATCTTTCTAGAAAAATGGTTTTTTTCCAGTCGCTTCAGATTAGTTCTCTGCCCCTTCCTGTACCCATTTCTTCTCTACTTCTAGCCACCCTACGGACAAGATCCTCTAAGCTGAGTACCTCAGCCTCTGCACACACATTCCTGAGGGTTGCCTTCACCCCCCTTTGCTGCCAGTGGTGCATTCACCATCAAGTAAGAGAATGCGGTACAAGGCCAGCAGCATCTTGGCCAGGAAGGCACCTGTGTCACCTCTGGGTGTCTCAACAGCCATGTCCCAGAGACCCTCTGCTTCCTCTCCCTGGTCACTGCGGTCTGTTTGCAGGGGAGGCTGCATGATGCAGTTATGGAATGGGCACCCTGGGCTGAGTCCTGAGAGCTGGGGGGTCATTCTCAGTCTCTCAGGCCAGGCAACCTTAGGAAGCACTTCCTTCCATAACATGAGTGTTATTGTGACTGGATGATTCTTCTGGAAGGAAGCAGGCTGGGAGAATGTGGATGTGAAGCTCGGGGAAGGCCAGGCAGCTCCCCCTTCCTGGCTGTGGCTCTGCTTCCAGAGTAGCTGAAGAACTGGAAGTGGTTACCCTGCTGTATGATGGGCAGGTCTGCCCCTCCCAAGAACAGGAATACACTGGGTCAGTGGCAATTAACTTTGGCCCTTGAGGATTTGGTGTTATTCTTAAAGCTGCAAAAGAGGACGAAGCAAGAGATACCACTGGAACTGGAAGGAAAGAGCCCGGAAGGAAGATGGAGTCTGTCGTATGTTCAGAAACATCCTGATGAATCTGACATTGCTTGGAGTGAGGATAAGATGGCTCTGTCATTTAGCCTCTGAGTCAGGTCAGAAAGAAGCACAGATCATTCTTCAGATGGGGAACCTGGAGAATGTTACCAGGAGGGCAAAAAACAGGCTGGTCTGGAAGTTCTGAGCACGCCAGGCCCTCGCCAAGCCTAGGGTCTCTGTGAGGGCAGAGAGGGAGGCGAGGCTCAGCGGGTTAGACCTGGCCTTCTTCAGGATGGAGGGTTATGTGCCTCTCTTCAAAGGTCTTTCCAGGCAGTGATTCTGCCCCATTCATCTTCCTCTGCCTGGATCAAGCACATCTGGCTCTGTTGAGTAAAAGGGAAGAGAAGATCTAAGAGGACTTTCAAGTAAGAGAATTTCCGACGAAGGCTCTCTGATCGGAGAAAGCTGCTCTCTCTGCAGTCGCGCTGCCATGCAGGTCTCTGCCTCGGGCCTTAGGATGCCCATAGCAGCGGAGGAGCCAGGGCCGTGCAGAGAAAAGAGAATAAAACACGAGACGTGTGCTCCCTGAGTGACATCAGACACTTGTTTTTCATCTTCTGCCCAGAGGAATCTCATGGAGCTGGGCTGCTCCCAGCTCCTCCCCTGCGCTCCGGGACAGCTCCCTGCCTGGGGACTTGCTGGCGGAGTTAATAGGAAGTGGATCCCCACCCCACCGCCAGTGCCGGCGTCTCAGCTGCAGACACCTTCTGCGCTTTGCAGCTGAGGTGTCACGGGGTGCGGGGCCAGACTGCAAGCACAGGGTCACAACTGCACTTTCGGAACAGAGCTGTCCTCCAGGCTGAGAGGCCGGGGTCTGAGGCGCTGCCCGCCGCCCCCCTCTCTGAGCAGCAAATCTAGGCTCCTCCTGTCTGCCTGTTTTCCTTCCAGCCTGAAGGGAACATGAAAGAGGTGAAGAAAGAGCCAGAAGCAGAGGATGAAGCGCTTTGTTTCTGGAGCTTCAGCTTCTTTCCAGTGTGGAACTGAAGGTTTTGCTGCATGTATCACAGCAAAATGCAGGTGTCTCACTCCATGACCACCAACGCCTGAAATCTCTGTGGTGGTCAAGGTGTTCATACTCAAGAATTCCACCCCTAATTAAGCAAATATCCAAGAAAGGCAAAAAATAGATTCTGGAAGATCTGTATCACATCACAGTCAACAATTGGAAGTGATCTAAATTTCCAGGAGTAGCCTAGTAAATAATGGTCTTATAAACATGATGGAACTCATTATATACGACCATTAAAATGGTCATTATGCTGACTATAAATTAACAATCAATACTGATAGTTAGTGCTGTTGGTTGGGAGTTTGCTATATCAGTTGTTTTCAACCCTGAGGACGTGTTGGAATCTCTTGGGACCTAGACCTCATTCCCAGAGAGCAGGCTTCAGCTGTGCATGTGTAGGGTCTGGGCCTGGGTGTCTCTTTTGAAGCTCCCTGGTTGACACTACTGTGCAGCTCAGGCTGAGGGCCTCAATGCCACTGCCAGGAACTTCGGGTGCATAAAAGCCACCAGAGAGTCATAGCTTTATGAGTCTCCTGGGCACGATTACATCAAATACGGTGGTTCTGGTGTCCTTCCCTTCTCCCCAGGGCACCTCGCCCCACGTTTGGGCAGTGCAGGGTGCTATTGCTTATCTCTGATTTATTACAAAAATGTTTTTGAGAGTACTCTGGTTGTTCGTTGTTCCATAACCATCCCAAAACTTAATGGAGTAAACAGTGAAATTACTGCACAGATTCTGTGGGTCAGGAATTTGGACACAGCATAAGAATGGCTTTCTTCTTTTCTACAATGTCTGCTGTTTCATGCAGCGGGGTGCTGGAATCATCTGAAGGTTTATTTATGTACGTGTCTGGTGCCTTGGCTAGAATGACTTGAAAGACAAATTCAGCCAAGACTGCCAGCCACAGAGCTCCCCATACACAGCCTCTGTCTGCGTGGCTTGGGCTTCCTTACACCATGGAGTCTCTTGGTTCTAGCAGCAAACATGCTGACTAAAAAGCAACACAGAGGGCTTTTTGACCTAGTCTTGGAAGTCAGTCGCCTTGCTTCCATTGTACTCTATCATTGAAGTAACCATACGCCCACACAGATTTCAGAAATAATTTTGGAGATAGAATTGACAAGATTTAGTAATGGGCTAAATACGGACACTGAAGGAGAGGACTGTCAACTACGAATGCTACAGTGGCATACGACATGGGAAAATGCCAGAATGCGTGTGTATAATAATCACAGTGCCTGTGGATGAGAGTTGAATGTAGTGTCCAATAAAGAAAAACTTGAAGGTGGCGGCAGCAGGTCTTTCATATGACTCAGTCATTTTGGTAACTCTTCATACCCCTGTAACTACCCACCAAACCTGTGTCTTTGAAGAATGACACAGTCTTTGAAGAATGGTGATTGTCACTGGGCCCCAGCATGACTCATGAAGTGAGTCTGCTTTCCAAATACCACATTCAGAAATCACCCTTGCCACTTGACTCTGTAGTTGGGAGAACTACTGTGCTGTGAGCCTGTTCACCCTGTCAACCTGTGGAACTCACCAGGCCCCCAGCATCATGGGGAAAGATGGGGAATGGCCTGAGCCCACCTATTTTTGGTCTAATCTCTCTTCTGTCCTTTCTCCGTAGGCTTTTGATATTATGAGAGTGACTCATGGCAGAGAACACAGCCTGATTGAAGATTTGATTCTGCTTTTAGAAGAATGTGACGCCAACATCAGAGCATCCTAAGGGACCCGTCAGAGGGAAAGGTGGCTTGTGGCTTTGTTGAATGCCTTATTGAGGTCACACACTTTGTATTTTGTTTGCTGTGTGAACCTCTCCTATTGAAAATTCTCTTCTGTGTTTGTGTAGGTAAATAAAGGCAGACATGATTTGCAGATCACAAGAATCATTAGTTGTAGAGAAGCATGATTATAATAAATTCAAAAAATTTGGGTGAAGATGCTGCCTGGTAATTGTCTTACTTGCTTACTGGCAACTTTAATGTTTAAAATACCAACATTCAAGATAGGAAATCCTACTAAAAGCATGAAAAAATAAGTAATAACTTTCTCTTTGGATATATTAGATAAAAATTGCTATTTTCACATTTGCTTCCAAGCAAAAACTTAATGTCCATTTTGGCAAGAAGCAGAATTTTGAGATATCATCTTTTGCTCTTTGTGATAAGTGATGTTTGTGTGTGTTATTACTTCCAAATACGTCTCCAACACAAGAAGTTTTATCCTAAATCCTAGGAAGAAGCCGTTTTAGGTATTACTAGGAAAGGATAGGAAGTCTTAATGCCAAAACCAGCTTTTCAGCTGTCTCACAGCTCTTTGTGTAAATCTTTGTGTATGTCGTTTTTTTCCTTGAAATTTGTTTCTGTAATGACCCAAATCTGTGGTTCCACGTGAGTGTGGTGTGCGTGGTGTGAAGCTCGGTTGTCCTGCAGTCAGCAGGGTTCTCGCACCGCAGCTCAAATCAGGCTTGCTTGCTTTTTCTTCTTTATTGTTTCCTGATTCTTCAGCCTTTTTTTTTTTCCTGCCTTTCTGCTTTAGACACAGAAACCCTTCTCTTTTCCACCTCTCAAAATGTGAATTCTTTTATATCTCAGTGATCCTGTGAGCAATGCGGCCCCTCATGCCTAGATGAGACTCTGGTAGTAACGGAAGCCCTTGGATTCCTGGAGCTGAAATTAGGCCTAGTAGAGAGCGTGCCATCACCCACGCTTTATTTCACAGGCGAGGAGATGGGTGGGAGCAGAATCCAGAGCAGCAGGAGCCCTCCCCGTCTTTCACGGAGGGAGTCTCAAGTCCTCTGACCAGGCACTGTTAGAATGGCACAGAGATATCTGATTGAGCCCGAAAGAACCAGCCTTACGTTTGCAGTGAAGAAAACTGATGACTTGTAACTGGAGTCCTGTTAGGCTACACACCTGGTGATGACTTTGATGTTAAAAAAAAAAAAAAAAAAAAAATGCTGTCCTGCATGCTGATGAGTTCCGAAGCCTTTTGTCATCCTTGCTTCTGCTTGAGCTGCCGTCTCTTACATATCAAGGACATCTCTAAAGCACACAGCATCTTTAACAACCACAATAGCATGGCAAGGTAGGTATTTTGAAGCCCGTTTTATAAAACTGTGGAATTGGACTCCTGGGTGCTCTGGAATCCCTCCTGATTTACCAAGTAGCTTTGAGAAAAGGGTTTAATTGCAGGCTTTTCAAGGAGCCATTTCTACGCAGTTCAACAAGTACATATTGAATGGTTACTGTGTTTTTAGGGAAAGGGGATACAAAGACTGAATAAGACGCACCCCCATCTTCAAAATGGACACTGTCTGGTCTGGTATTTGTATCTGTTAGCTTTTACTGCGTAACAAACTACCCCAAAACTTAGTGGCTCAAAGCAACCTTTTTTAAGTTTATTTTAGGTCTGTAATTCAGCAATTTGAGGTGTGCAGTTGTGGTTTGGCCTAGGTGTGCTGGTCTCCGTGGGCTCGCTCGCTGTGTATAGTTGCTGGTAAGAAGGTCAGCTGTGCAATGGGGGTGAGTGAGCCCTGCAGCCCGTCAGTCAGCCCTGCAGCCCGTCAGTCAGCCCCGCCGTGTTCACGTGGCAGCAGTTCTGGGAACTGTAAGGAGGCAAGTCCCAGTGTGCCCAGTGTGCAAGTACCTTTTCAACTCTGCTGGTATCCCGTGGACCACAGCCAATCTCAAGGCCACTGCAGAATCAAGGGGTGGGTCCCGGCTCCTCATTAGGACAGACTACAGAGCACCATTGCCATTGCAGGAGCATGGGTACCTGGAAGGGAAGCAGCTGTAGCCATCTATGCAGTCCATCGTAGTTACCCTGGATTTTTTTTTGGTGTTATAGAACACTTAGTGAATTTTATGAATCTACAGACCTTTTTTCTAGAAAAATATACAAAGTTTTCCCTTGGTACCCATGGGGGATTGGCTCCAGGACCTCCTGGGTACCAAAATTGACGGTGCTCAAGTCCCTGATGGAAAACGGCATTGTATTTGCATATAACCCGCGTGCCTTCTCCCGTGTTCTTCAAATCATCTCTGGATTGCTTGTAATGCCTAAAAAAATGTAAATGCCATGTGAGTAGTTGCTACACTGTATTTAAGGAATAATGAAAAAGTTTGTACCTGTTTAGTACAAATACAGTTTTTTTCTTAATAGTTTTGACCCAATACTAGTTGAATCCACAGATATGGAACCTGCAGATACAGAGGACCAGCCATATATATGAACAATTTGCTTTTAGGATCAAAGAGTCTCAGACTTCCTGTGGCCTCTGTGGATTCCCTGGGCCCTTCATGAAATGAGAAATACACTCGCTACCTTTCAAAAACGCTGCTGGGAATTGTATTGGTTCCTTCATTTTAAATGCATTCAGTAAAAAGTCATGACAAAAAGTAAGGATAGTAAGTTACATGCCAGATGAGCAGAGTTCACTGAAAGAACCTTGTGTTTGCCAAATTTTCTGAATGAAATTTATCAGTCAGTGATGATCCTGGATTAAGAGATTTGCCTTCACACCTCCTAGAGAAAGCATGATGGGCTTTTAAATCCCTCTCAGCCCGCTTCCAGTTTTCTAAGAGCAAGGGGCCCTGCCTGCACCAACTTTTAATGGAAAGCAAACATTTAAGCAAGGTAAACATTTACCAAACAACTTTACAGCCAAATAATTTTGGAGAAGTGGGAAGGGGACGGAGAACTTAATTTAAAATGCGTGTCACCAGTGGCTGACGATTTATTGCCACCCCAGCCGCCAGGACTGCGATTTCATTAATCCACAGTCATTGTAGCGGCAGGCTTTTTTCACATCAGTAACTTGATGCCATTAGTTGCTCCTCGGGGATGAGAACACATTTAAACTGAAATGAACACGCTGGGCATAATTTACAGCCATGCCACATGAATGCCAGGAGCGCAGGGGAGGACGGCCGCCCAGGCAGCCTGCTCAGAATGGATGCTGAGGACATGCCTGCTCTAGGCAGCCGGAGCCTGGTGAAGCCGGACGGCCGCAGACCACAGAGGCCTCAGCCAGCCTTCGCTGCAGGGTTGAAAGAGGAATTCCATATGTGGGGGCCCGCCCCGAGTTAGGTCTTGAAAATGCTTTTCTGGCCCAGTTGGGAATTGATGTTCACTTAAGAGTAGTCCACAGGGATCCCGCAGGTAGACGGTTCTGGAATCGTCTGTGGAGCATCAGGTAATCCCCATGACAGGCAGTCACTGGCAGAAGCATCAGGAAGCTACTGGAGCCCTCTCTGTCCCTGAGGTATGTAAGAAACTGGTTGAGGAGAAGGACCAGAAACATCACCCGCAAATTGGGGTACTCCTTTAACTTGTGGAGGTTTGTAAGCATCTGAAAGCTGTTGGCTCAAAGTCAACATATTCAAAATCGATTGAAAACATGTAAAAAACCAGCGCTCCCCGTTTCCTGTTCAGCTCAGTGCTGTCATGGTCCTTCCCTTCTTCATCCCGGAAACTCAGTCATTAATTCGCTCTTCTCCTTTACTGAGGAAAACAATTCTATCTGTTCATCTCTGGAAGCACTTTGCTGAATGTCAGCCCTGTTTCCCAGCCCCTTCGTGGGCCCCAGCACCGCACTGCTCAGTCACTGCGAAGACCTCCCCACTGATCTCATTTCTTTTAGTAAGGAATGATACTTAGAAGCCCTCACCTGGTTACTCCTAACCTGGGCCTTTTTAAGATCATGAATCCTAGCCAGGCGCGGTGGCTCACGCCTGTAATCCCAGCACTTTGGGAGGCCGAGGCGGGTGGATCACGAGGTCGAGAGATCGAGACCATCCCGGTCAACATGGTGAAACCCCGTCTCTACTAAAAATACAAAAATTAGCTGGGCATGGTGGCGCGTGCCTGTAATCCCAGCTACTCAGGAGGCTGAGGCAGGAGAATTGCCTGAACCCAGGAGGCGGAGGTTGCGGTGAGCCGAGATCGCACCATTGCACTCCAGCCTGGGTAACAAGAGCGAAACTCTGTCTCAAAAAAAAAAAAAGATCATGAATCCACATTGATACCATCCATTTGTAAAGTCCTTTGAACTGACTGCACCATGAACTACACCATGGCCTGGACTACACCACGGGCTGGACTACACCACGGCCTGGCTATAGTGTAGTCCCTGGTGCAGTCAGTTTAAAGCACTTGACACAAGTAAAATCTGACATCTGGGGTGGTTCCTCATCTTTCTCCTTCCGTATTTGTGCTTCTCTTATACATAAAAATAGTTGTGAAATGATTACACGGCAACATGACCAACACGAAGCTACTAAGTGAAATTTCAGAATCCTTTCTAGCGTTTTTATCTTAGACAAAAAATGTTATAGTCAGAATACCATGTTTAAAAGTTACTTGAACTCTTATTTTCAGTACGATTACATATTCAATTTAATATCTAAGTTTGTTTCTATTTGAATTCAATTTTAGGGTTTTCCCATCAGTTTATATTGGCATCTCTCAATACAAAGGTGTAATATATATTAATATGTTATATTTTGTTGTCTTAAATAATGCCATAAAGAATAACCTTGGGCATCTGTCTTTTCACATTGCTGGAAACGTATCTTCAGGGTAATGTTCTGCAAGAGGCCTTGCTGAGCCCAAGGTCAGCACGTGTTGTTTTACGGGGTATTGTCGTACTCACCTCCGGAGGGCTGTGCTGAGTCCAAGGGTCAGCACGTGTTGTTTTACGGAGCATTGTCGGACTCACCTCCAGAGGGCTGTGTGACATTACCTGTTTCCCCTCAGCCTGTCAACACAGGGCGTTGTCCGGCTTCTGAATTTTTTGCTAAGGTCATAGGTAAGAAATGGCATCTGAGTTGGTTTTGTTTGTTTTTTGAGACAGTCTTGCTCTGTTGCCCTGGCTGGAGTGCAGGGCTGTGATCTCAGCTCACGGCCACCTCCACCTCCCAGCCTCAAGCAATTCTGGTGC